TTGATCGATCGATAAAAGAGTTTAGATCTTAACGGGCATAAAGCTCCATAGCGGATGCTTAAATCATAGGATCTATAGTAATGTACAACATTCAATAACTTTGTCGACACTTTTTTCAAACCGAATCTATCATCTCTTGTTTTCAGATTTTATCCTTTGTATACACCTATTGATGCAGAAGTTCAAGTTTTCTAAGTAACCTTAGGTTCCTGATGAGTGTAGTCAGTGAGTGATAAAAATGGTACTTTTCAGATCTTAATAACTCAAGAATTCCAATAAGTTCACTCATAAAATTTGAGATTTCAGGTATTTAAGGCATCCTTACTAGGTATGCAAATATTTAGGAATTTACAAGTGTTTAGATCTAATGGTTTTCGAGTTTGGGGGGTTCGAAAGTGGCTTGACGTACTTGTCTTACACACTAACTTAAACACGAACTATTTGTGAATTGTCATTATACTTAATATTTAATATGTGGCACTTAAATTAAAACTTTTGTTCAATTTTGATTTTGCATGATAGACTTGGCCTCTAACTCTTTAAGCCACTTAAGGCTGTTATTAATACAAATGAACTTGTTCTTCATGCACTCGGTAACTGAAACCGAGGCAATAGAATCATTTTGCCAAAAAAATAATCTGAGAGCAAAATGACGTAACTTCCATCGTTGAAAATAGAGCTACTCTTTTTTATAATTAAAACTTTAAGCTTTTTAAAAATAGCCACTTAAACGATGCTTCGTTTGTTTTTCGAAATGTTACTAAAATAAAAATATTTGACGCAGGTCCGTGCCCGTGTAATCTTTCGTCATTCGCCAATGAGTAATTTTTTTTTAACTCTGCGATATAATGTGACCAATATTTTTAGAAGTGAACAATATTCAGTTTCAGTGTTCCAAGACTACTTGATATTTTGGATTTGATAACTTTAAATGTTGTAGGTAGTCAAGACTAGTTTTGGAGTTCCTAACGTTGATTCACGTGTGTTTGCCTTATAATAATCCATCACCTCATTTGGTGCCGTGGGTCGTTATAGGCAACGGTAGTAAAGGTTAGTAAGACCCTGTGACTTCCAGTAGATATAACTGCCCATACCGGCGATGAGAAACAGTGTCAAAAATGTACTCCGGCAATCAATTCCCTAGAGGATGATAACGAAGATGAATAATGATTATTACATATTGAAAGAAAATTTATCACCATTATAAGTGCTATAAAATGAGTGTTTTTCGAGTGCACTAAGGGAAAATAAAGCTGACAGATAGCAGAATGACTATCGCACATTATCAACATCATTTGGGGGCGGCGTAAGAGCCCATCCTATTTTTTAACAGGCAACTAAGAGAAACAACAAATGTCAACGCTTCCAATAGATGGCAGTAGGTACCACTACCTGGTAGAAAAAATGTAAAATATTTATACTGGCGACAGACAGCAGCATTACAAATGTGAGACATCTCAACAATTCCTCTATAATTCTCCTAGAACTAGATGTTTATATGTTGTGCTGTCCATAACTTGTGTATTTAGTAGTGTTTTGTTGAGCTACATTGTCACCTAATAACCGCCAACTCCTTTCCCACCGTGAAGTCTCCAGACAAGATGTAACAGACCAAAGAATGGACCACACTGATCTAACAAAACATGCCATAGTTTTTTTTTATAAGGTGTAAGTGACATTGGGTATAAGTATAACAGTCTGCTTGATATTGTATATGAATCGCTAGTAAGTGGCTACCATAACCATTGGTACCATGCTACTGAGGACTAAAACAAAAAAACCTCATCATCATCATTACATCCCTTTTACAAGTCCACTGCTAAGGAACTTCTACGCCTACCAAGGAACCAGGCACCAAGGAACGCCACAAAGCACGGTCCTTAGTCACCTGCATCCATCAACTTCCTGCACGTCTTACCAAGTCGTCACTTTATCTAAAACAAAAAACCTAATTACCAGTTATTTTACATGATGCCTTTAATCTTTTACCACAGAAAAAATAATAGGAACTTTTACACCCATGGGATGAAATGAGGTGATGGAGTAACATATAAGGCAAACAAACATGAATCAATGTTAGTAACTCCAAAACTAGTTTTGTCTACCTACAAGATACACATACACTCATTTCTTGGATGCAAAAATAGCCAACTAACTAACCTCATCAGACTGACATCATAACCAAAAAAATACCAAACAAAAAGGGCCTTTTAACAATATTAATAAAGAAATCTTCATTTTTATTATTTTAACAATCTGTTAGTATTCTCAAAATAGATCATGTCTCATACTTCCGGGTAAGAATCCCGGATCGGGAATCGAAAAACAGTAAAAGCTCGTAAATTAGTTGGTGGTGCCTGATCTCTCTTTGGTTGTGTTTAACCACCGTCCCTTTGGACTATCAGAGTGAGGAAATAGTGCATCTGTGTTTACCCACACACTCAAGCACTATAATCCCGTCCTGCACAGATAGCTCACCATGACCAAAATTCAGTCTGGAGGACATTATTATATTATATTAATGTTTGTATATATTCTATATCTCTATATTTCCTCCAGAACATTAAAAATTGAAGCATATTTTTTAATATTTATTATATAACACAGAGGAACGAAACATATTATCCAAAAGTTCCTGTGCCATAGGCTCATTTTACAGTACGCTGTTCAACAGGTTCTATTAGTAAGTGTCATTTTAGACTCACACCAATAATCACTCAAATACAGTTGTACCTATACCAATTGACTTTTTTATTTTGTGTTGGTTTTTCAAATAGTATGAGTACAATATCACTCCAGACCTTCATTCTTACAATTAGTCAGACACATCCCATTAACATTTTATCACTTGCCCTTTATGACATGTAAGGATATCACTACTAATTTCAATGACTCACCAGGACATGCATTTGACGAGACAATGCAAGGCTCAGTGATAGCAAAGGAATGTCGGCACCGCTAACTGTGCCAAGACTGATCAGTACTGAGCAATTGAGAATCTAAATGCAGATACATTGTTATCCGATACGACTAAGATGGAATGCCTCTCTGTAAAAACGGTCTCCAATTCTCTACACTCACTATACGAAATAGCAGTGTTAAGCTACTATTTTACACTGTTGTTATGTGAGAGTGTGGTTGATCCCTGGTCGATCCGACCCATTTGTGCTACAACTATACTAGTAACATAGCTGCAGCATGGTTCTACCACATATAAAAAAAACTATGTTTGTATCTCTTAATGAAATACTTGATGCTAGCTAAATCTGCAGGCATTGACAAAGGGAGGTATTGCTAAATGTGGTCAAAATTCCACTTATTCTATGGAAACAAATGCAAAAATTATTTTTGCGTTATTTTTTTGTGTAGGGAATGCAATCCCAACTATTTGTCTTCCATTGTATTAGTACCTATCTTGTCTAACTAAACCTTTACATGGCTTTTAAGTGTAATACTGTAGATCAGGGATCACCAATTAGTTTAATTGCAGGTCTGTATAAAAAAATATAAATCTGTCGTGGTCTGTTTGCTAGATGATCCTTAGCAAGTGAGATTTAAATCTAATTAACCGATTCGTTGCGGCACCAATTTTTGGCAAATGTTTCATGATACGCCTGGCATGTCAAGCACCAGGAATTATGATATTCAAGGCTCTGAAACTACTTGAGGTATCTCAGCAGTTTTGTAACGTTACCAATGTAGCATTTTATAGTAATATAGTCATACTTGATGTGAGATGGACACTTTAGGTGAGATGGAGCAATACAACTGGATTTATATAGCTCTCACTCTCAATAGAATTATAGTGGTAGGACTGCTTTTTTGTCTCTATGGCCGAAAGGTCTTGCAATAGTCACACTCATTCAATTTATATATACTGCAAACCTACTTATTTGCTTGCTTCGGAAATATTTCTTACAAGAATGTAAACCACCATCTAGAGCAGGGATCACCAAATGGCGACCACGGTCCACATCCGGACCGCCAACCTATTTTGTGCGGACCCATAAGAATATCAATCTAAAAATTTGTGGTAATTCAATTTTCTTCTGTTTTAAAACACAAAAACTAATGATAAATACCAAGAACTAAAAAAATGGCTTTGAAACTTGGTACAATGTTTTAGATCAACATAGTTTATTTGTAAAGAAGCATTGTCTAAGGCGAACATCATTAAAAATAAATTTCGATTTCGTCTTTCCGATGACCATCTCCAGGGTTAATGGCAATAGCCTACACCAACTTAATTCCAGACCTCAGATTGTTGAGATTAAAAAACTCCATTTTTCACCTTAATAATGGGTCCTTACTTTGTTATTTTTTAATTAGATTTAAATCTCGATTGCTAAGGATCATCTGCTAGACAGACCACGACAGATTTATATGTTTTTATACAGACCCACAACTAAAGTAATTGGTGATCCCTGATCTACAATATCTACACTTAAAAGCCATGTAAAGGTTTAGTTAGACAAGAAAAGTACTAATACAATGGAAGACAAAGGGTTGGGATTGCCTTCCCTACACAAAAAATTATGCAAAAATAATTTTTGCATTTGTTTCCATAGAATAAGTGGAATTTTGACCACATTTAGCAATACCTCCCTTTGTCAATGCCTGCAGATTTAGCTAGCATCAAGTATTTCATTAAGAGATACAAACATAGTTTTTTTTATATGTGGTAGAACCATGCTGCAGCTATATTACTAGTATAGTTGTAGCACAAATGGGTCGGATCGACCAGGGATCAACCACACTCTCACATAACAACAGCGTAAAATAGCAGCTTAACACTGCTATTTCGTATAGTGAATGTAGAGAATTGGAGACCCTTTTTACTCAAAAAGAGATATTCCATCTTAGCCCTCTCGGGTAACAATGTATCTACACTTTGATTCTTTATTGAGGATAGATGTAGACACCTATGGATCCCAGCAACCACTTACCATCAGGTGGACTGTTTTCGTCTGTCACCCTATACTATAAAAGATTTTTTTTTTCGAAATTCCAACACGTATAATCATAAATGGATTTAAAAGGCAAAAAATATTAGTTTAATATTATTATTGGATTATTGTTTGTACAAAAGGATTGTAAACTTAATGATCATAATGAAAAAGTTCCTTCGGGAACCCGTGCATTCTGGTCTCTCGCCAAGGCTGTCCAAGGGAATTTCTGTAAGCCATCACTACCATCTCTGCACAGGGAGGACGACTCACTGGCCCACGACGCAAAAGAGAAGGCCGACCTTTTAGGCTCCCTTTTTGCGTCGAACTCGACTGTTGATGACGGGGGGAACACACCGCCGACCATCCCGCGGTGTGAGTGCTCCATGCCGGATGTGCGATTCTCACAGCGCTCGGTTCGCAGAGCACTCCTCTCCCTTGACATCCACAAGTCGAGTGGGCCTGACGGAATCCCCCCAATTGTGCTGAGGACGTGTGCTCCGGAGTTGGCACCGGTTCTAACGCGTCTTTTCCGGTACTCCTACTCCCTAGGCGTAGTCCCGAAATCATGGAAGACAGCTTTTGTCCACCCGATCCCTAAAAAAGGCGACCGCTCAGATCCGTCCAACTACAGGCCTATCGCCATCACCCCCTTGTTCTCCAAAATAATGGAATCCGTTGTAAACTGCCACCTCATGCGGTACCTTGAGGATCACCAGCTGATTAGTGACCGCCAGTACGGTTTTCGTCGGGGTCGATCAGCTGGTGATCTTCTGGTCTACTTAACTCATAGATGGGCGTTGGCAGTAGAGTCCAAGGGGGAGGCATTGGCCGTTAGTTTGGACATTGCGAAGGCCTTCGATCGGGTTTGGCACAAAGCGCTTCTTTCGAAGCTCCCTTCCTATGGGCTTCCCGAGAAATTATGCAATTGGATCACCAGCTTTCTTGCAGATCGGAGCATCAAGGTCGTTGTAGACGGTGCATGCTCCGACTACAAGCCTATTAACGCTGGTATTCCACAAGGCTGCGTGCTATCACCGCTGTTTCTTCTGCATATCAATGATATGTTGCAAGCTGGTAGCATTCATTGCTATGCAGATGACAGCACTGGTGATGCTCTATACACCGGCCGTGCCAATATTTCTCGGGAAAACGTCACCAAGTACCGGAACAAACTTGTGTCTGAAGTCGAGTCTTTGCTGGACAAAGTCTCGGATTGGGGGCGACTAAATCTAGTCCAGTTTAATCCTCAGAAGACACAAGTTTGCGCGTTTACCGCTAAAAAGAATCCCTTTGTAGTATCTCCTCAGTTTCAAGGTACTCCCCTTGTTGCCTCAGCCAGTATCGGAATCCTCGGCGTCGACATATCGAGTAGCGTGCAGTTTCGTGGTCACTTGGAAGAGAAGGCCAAATTGGCCTCTAAAAAGCTTGGCGTGCTCAGCAGAGCGGGACAGTATTTCATGCCGGCTCAACGCCTGCAACTTTACAAGGCGCAGGTTCGGCCTCACATGGAATACTGTTCCCATCTCTGGGCTGGGGCTCCCCAGTGCCAGCTTCTTCCACTTGACCGCATCCAGCGCAGAGCGGCTCGAATCGTCGACGACCGAGTCCTTTCCGATCGGCTCGACTCATTGGCACTGCGAAGAGATGTTGCATCTCTTAGCATTTTCTTTCGCATCTACCATGGGGAGTGCTCTGAGGAATTGTTCGGATTAATCCCAGCCGCCAAATTTCACGAACGCACATCGCGGCAGAACTCCCGATACCATCCACACCATCTGGATGATTGGCGGTCCACCACTGTGCGATTTAGAAGATGTTTTCTTCCTCGCACAACTTCCTTGTGGAATAGTTTACCACCAGCGATTTTTCCGGACCGATACGACTTAGGGACCTTCAAGAAAAGAGCCTACTCCTTTTTAAAAGGCCGGCAACGTACCTGCAATTCCCCTGGTGTTGCGGTTGTTCATGGGCGGCGGTAGTCACTTACCATCAGGTGAGCCGCATGCTCGTTTGCCCCCTCTCCTATAAAAAAAAAAAAAAAAAAGACTTAAGATTAAAACATATATATATATATATATATATATATATATTTGTTTTAATTATTAGATTATTTCAATATAAGATTTTTTATTGATTGATTTATGATGTTAATAATAAGCATTTACATCTAATACAAAGGTATAAAAAAATTAATTCAGATTTATATTCGGATATATTCAGGTATTAGCCATCTGCACAGGACAGGTTTATATGGCCCGAGTGTATGTGCAAGCACAAGTGCACGCCCTATTCTCTCACACTCATAGTCCTATGGGACGAGAAGCCGACACAACCAGAGAGAGATAAGCCACAGATCCAAAGGCTATGTGCTTTCTAAGGCACGGGGTTGAAATATTGCCAACTTCCTGGTTCCAGGCTACTGAGCATTTCTTGACAGTAAACCCAATTACTGATATTAGTTCGAGCTGGGACCTCATGATCGGTAATCGCGCTAACAAAAACCAGAACAATGAGCCAGTCAAAGTAATTATAAAACAACTGTCGTCACATGTTAATAGACGGTAGATGCTAAACGAATCTAAAACCTCCATGTCTTAATATGCTGAGAACAACAATTTATTACCTCTCATTAACAGTTTAAATTATTTTATAACACTACAGTTTATATGGTTAATGCATAATGAAGAACGAAAAAAAGAGGCAAGACGATCAAACGACGGATTTATGTCAACCCCAGACAAACTCCATAGCTGGCATTTAACGTCACTGATAACGTATGGAACAACACATATTTGGTCTTGGTACATTTGCAAAAATACGTTGAAATAACCTAGGATATGAAAAGTACATAACAAGGCCACAATTCTATTTTTCATTTAGCAAGTGGGTGGACGCATAAATGGAACCTAATAGTTTGACGTTTAATGTAATATAAGACCACTTACCAATTCTTGTCCAATGCGACTTATCGAAATTATATCATTACACTAATCCTTTACACTATACTTTTGACAAAAAAATTAAAATTGAAATTAATTGTTTAGGAAAACAAAAGAAGCAAATACACGCAATGCAAACACACCTCACAAAACTAGTAAGGATGCGATCTGAGATCGATTAATCGAAGCATCGATTTTACCAGGCCCAAAAGATCGATTTTTAAATCGATGTGCAGTAGCCCTTAAAATCGCTATTTCATATTTTTGTTTTGTTAAAAACCGTAAAGTTATTTATAAGTTGAATGTATCCGTAATATTACGGTGATGCAGCTATATGCTTAGTTTCCTTCACCCATAGATAAATAAATATGTAGCCTTCACCTCCATTTAGTAAAAAAAGTTAGGTTTGTAGTTTATGACTGATTGCATTTGTTAATTAAAATTGCGTCATTTCGTCAGTGATTTGTAGAAAAGGCGAATCCACCAAGGAAAAAAATTCCAAGGGAGATGTTTATCAGTTTTGATGATTGATATTTTTTTATGTAGTTCATTTTTTAAATTTATTTTTTGTTAATAATAAAGTATTCTAGTATACAATAGTAGGGCATGAAACTATTTCACAGAAAATCTTTTAATTAAGTAGAAAACGAATGAAATATGGATGTTCACCCTTTAAATGTAACAAAATATTAGTGTGTTTGTACGTTCGCCTATGTCCTATTCCGGGGTCTAGACTGTCTATATATACACATAACGTATAATTAGTATGATTGATAGTCACGAAGGATGCACTAATTATTTTATGATTTTAACTCAATAATTAACTCTTCAGAATAAAAATGGACATTTATTAATTATGATAAGTATCATCATGAGTATGTTTGTACTTTACTAAAATAACTGGTATTAAGTCGCTTGCGTAGGGAAGTTCTTCATAATATTGATGGAAATTTCGTGAAATGACGCCGGATCTACATAATTATATTAAATCATTATGCTTGGCTCTCGTTATAGGGATTTTTTACATGTATGCTTTAGGTAAATCTAAAGGTGAGTCTAAAGTTTGACTCCGACGAGCCCTTAGAACAGGTTTAGCAGACATATCCATTTCCATAAATTCAGAGTCATAATCATATCTGTTAAATATTCTGTTAGCCCGCCTTTTGTCGTATTTTAGCCATTTAATTTTAAGCCAAGATAAAGAGGGCTTCTTTTTTATGGGATTCTTGGAAGCTACTTCTTTCCAGTCTATAAAGTCCTCATGATTGTATTTTTTAACAATGTATGGAGCAGGGATTTTTCTTGCTATTTTGCAAATAGTGACCCATTCAACCGGTGCATTTATAGATATGTTTTTGGCTGCACGCTCAATTGCAGAGTGCATAGAATCTCCTTCTTGCTGCGAATGCCCAACCTCGTAAAATACATAATTTATGGTCTCAACATGTGGCAATGATTTTACAGCATGTAAACATGCTGTGGCAAAAAACTGATTTCTATTTTGCCCTCCACAGCTGTCACTTACGAAAAAGAAGTGTTTTTGCTGATACTGCTTTCGATGAGTCTGTAAACACAGATAGCAATTTCAATTGACCACATTTCCCCTCACATTCAGTCCAAATATTGCATACACCTTGATGTGTCATTAAGTCGTAAATTGTTAGGTTGTAGACAGCAAATTATCTTTTATAAAAGATAGCACATGTTTTTACTTTTGGGCATTCAAGAACAAGAAAAACTGAAGGTAGCCGGGCTAACTATGACATCGGGATGTCAGACACCTCATTCCGCTCCGTGACCACGGGAATTAAAAAGTTAAATTAAACGCGATAAAATACGTAAAAAATAGTTTCATTCAATTTCAAGAACAGCTTGCATATCAAAATTTATAACACTATACCGGATTTTCTTTTGCTTTAGCTATAGCATCATTTTTTATTTCACGGGCTCTGTTCTTCAGTTTTAGATGATTATTATCATAATTCTCCTTTTCGTTTTCTTTTTGTTCGTTGGTAAGGCTTTCGTGCTGTTGACAAGTATTGCAAGTATCTTTACGTGGAGTATGGAAACTTAAGTTATAACTATAAAAATATTTTTTGTAAACAGAAATACTTATTGGCACTTTATTACGTTCTCGACATGAATCAATATACATTTTATAAAGCTTATTCAAATTAAAGTCAGCCGGTACATATTTTCTGATAGAGGACTTTCTACAATAGTGAGATTCAACAGCAGGTATGGACAAAATGTGGTTTCGAGCAAATTGTTCGTCTTCATCAGATGTTTTTATTTTGGAAGGCTGCCGTCCTCTAAGGTCTGGTTGAACTAATCCTAAGTTATTAATTCTTTTCTTTAATGCCATCCTCACAAATTTTTTTGTAACTCCATGACAATTTAAAAAGAAATACCTCCAAACTCTGGTACGTTTCTCGTAAATGGTGACATAATGGGCCATCGAATTTTGTTTCCGCGAATTAGTTTTTATTCTATTTGGATAGGTTCAACAACTTCCACATGATTGGAAATATATTGCCGCTGTTGGTCTTGATTCCCAGTTTTTTCACCAAGTTTCTAATAACTGATAAATATTTTTTCTATTTCTTTTTGTCGTATAGTATCGGTACATTTAAATGTACATTTCCTGCAAAAATGTTTAGTATACACGTGTATTTATAATTTTGCATTTTAAAGTCTTGTACTCTTTCCCAGTTGCACGAAATTTCTTCTTAATTTTTGTAATTTCTTTCTTACAGATTTGTTTTAATTTTTTTTGTTTTTTTTTCATTGTGGGTTATTAAATTTTTCTTCTTCCGGTACTTTTTCTTAGTGTCGTCACACGTTAATGCCTTAAATAACACATCAGATTTCTCATCAAGTATGCAGCCATCATTTTCAGAAGAAGGAGGTAAGTTTACGGTTAACAGAGCAGGGTTCTCATTCTGTTGGTGGGTAAGAAGATAGAAACTTAGTGCTGAGATGTCATTGTCTGCAATCACAGGTAAGCCAGGATTTGGGATTTTAACGTATGTAAGCGAACAAGGGTTAGGTGCTGCGATATCTTCAGAAAGGTCAGGTGTGTTAAGATTATTTAATAATAAAGTAGGAATTTCTACGCGTGGAGGAGTACTAAGCAAGCTTCGGCCACAAATATTGATGTCATCGTCTGGAAAGCCAGGTTTACATAATAATATGGTAGGACTTTTGTCACGCTCGGCGATAGAATTGCTGGGATTAACATGGGAATGGGCGATAGAAAACATCGTGAGGTAACCTGCAACCTGGGCAGCGCGGCGGACATATCCTTGTTCTAAAACCCTCTCAGAAATGACCTCATAACTTTTTACTGGGTGAACCGATTTCGATGATTCTTTTTTATTTGAAAGCTGGTACTTCTCGTGTGGTCTCATAAGAATTTAATTAAGGTCAGATTAATAGTTTTTAAGTTACTCTTAATAACTTATATTGAAGTCGGCTGTACAAAATTCTTTATTTTAAATTATTACTAACTGTGTTTCACAGCTTCGATCGCTTCAAGGCTGATTATAATGATATTACTCAATAGGTTTCCTTTGGGTTAATTCACGTATCTGAAGGAACTTTTTAATATCTATATTATGTTTGACCCGAACTATCTAATTATAAATATTTAAACATGCATAGCTAAGCTTTACGTGGTAGAGCCATGCTACAGCTATATTAGTAGTATAGTTGTAGCACTAATGGGTCGGCTCGACCGGGGAAGGACCACGCTCTTACAGAATACCAGCGTAAAATAGCAGCTTAACGCTGCTGTGTTTCGTATGGTGAGTGTAGAGAACCGGAGACTCTTTTACTGGAAATGAGGCATTCCATCTTAGTCCTCACGGGTGACAACGCATCTGCGTTTTGATTTGTAATAGAGGATAGATGTAGATGCCTATGGGCCACAGCAACCACTTACCATCAGGTGGACTGTGTGCTCGTTTGTCACACTTATCCTATAAAAAAAAGCTAAGTACACAAAAAGAAATGAATCAATTATTCAATCCTAATAAAAATATCCGAACACATAATCCGGTTTTCGCGTTCATCCATTTTCAAGTTATTAATCACTTGTTTTTTGTGATAGATTTATTGTAATAAATATGCATTCATAAACAAACACACTGACTTATATTAATACTTAACTCGTAGGCTCAACCGTCAAACAGATAATCCTATATCCGCCTATATATAATGTACTCTGTGCAGATAATACAATCTAAGTTCAGGTAAATAAAAAAAATTAACGAACTATTACAACACTTACAACCTAAACGAATCGTAATGGCCGCCCATGCCCATAGGAAATGAAAACTTTTAACGAGTTACACATTAAGGGCGAATATACATTATTCGCCGTTTTGCATAACAAAACAGTTTGATGATTAAATTAGTAAATTGTAATAAGGGCAAATATGGTATATTAGGCATGTCTTCGTAACAAGTAGTTGATATTCGCCGTTACACATTTGTTTTATTTTCTGTTCCAAAGGTCCATTACCTTCGCCGTTACTACAAATCGATTAAAAATGACTCAGGAAATTGTTCTGTTGCAAAAAAGAAAATCATAGAGAAATGGCTTATTCGCCCTTTCTACAAACCAGCGACGATTTACATTTGTTTATATAAACTAACTGTGTCGTAATATTAAACTGTGATTAGCGAAATAAATACATATTTTTGTGTATATACTTAGTCTGGTCATAAGGTCTGTCAAAACCTTATTATTTAAAATTTTTGAATACTGGCTAGATGAACTTCACCAATTTTAAAAATATAACGTTTGCTCTTGCCGAAAATAGAAAAGACATTAATTTTCATTAATTTTCAAATATGGAGTGGTCGAAGAAAGTAGATAGAGTAGCAGTTATCGAGTTGCACCGCTGTGGTTACGCGTCAAAAGAGATTTTCAATATTCTACAAACATTGAAAATAACCCTACGATTTGTTTATCGCACTATCAAACGATTCACTGAAGATTCAAGTTTCGAAGATCGTAGTAAGAGGACCGGGCGACCTCTTACAGTTAGGGCACCCACGATCATCAATGCATTGAAGACGTGAATCCAACGAAATCCTGTTTGTAAACAAGAAATCTTAGATCTTCAGATGGACCTAAGCAGAACCACGGTCAAATGAGACTAGA